TTTAGACTTGTAAAGTTTCATGGATCGGTTCTGTACTCGATTCATTTTCATACAGATTCTTCTTCTTAATGATAAAGAAAGCTATTACGCAAACAATTACGATGGCTATCAATGCTCCAACTATACCACCAGCAATAGCTCCTGCTTTGCCCTTATTTGGTGGATCGCTACTATTTGAATTATCATCTCCCCTAGGGGTAGTTTCTATTGGTTTTTTATCACCTGGATTTTCTCTCTCACTTGAACTTTCTTTTCCATTGGGTTTATTTTTCCCATCAGGATTCTCCTCACCAGGTTTTTCTTCTGGTTGATTAGAATTTTCGTTAGCAAATTTGTAATTACCTATTTTTGAATTAATTAAAATAGCTTTGTAATCCTGAGAACATCTTGTTTCAAATTCAATATCAAAAATATAATTCGGATCTATCCATTGGTATTTATAAATTAGGAGATTTTGGACATTTAATATTTTTCTTATACTTGATTGAGAGTTTCCTGTTAAATTATATGAAATTTCTCGTACCATTGCTGTGTTGTACTCATTGTGAGAAGAAAATCTCATTCCATCAAATGATCCCATGACAAGAACAACTGATTTTGGAAATTCGAGTTTGTAATTGGAATTGTTTGAAGTACCAATTGTGAGTTTTTGATTACCAATCATGTAAATGATATCATCTGCTTGTATATTAGATATCGAAAGTACTATTACTGATATTGGATAATTTCCGTAACAATACAATGTTCCAGCTTGAGTGAAATCAACAGCAATCGAATTATTTTGGAGTAATGTATAATTCTTATTACCAATTTCTGCATAAACATTAACTCCAGTTGGATCTGAAATTGGAGAAAGTATAACTTGATATCCTGCAGATACTCGGCATATTGTATTTTTCAATTCTTTCCTTCCAACTTCAAGATCAATAATATTCTTATCATATTTGAAGAGTTTAGTCTTTTTTGCAACTCTTGAATATGGTAAATTGATGTAAATTGTTATATTATATTCTCCAAATGTGAACCTTTCATAATGATAAACTTCAGTATATAATAGATCTCCTTGAAAATATGAAGATAAAAATTTATCCTCTCCTGCTTGAGAAGTCTGGCGAATTAAATGATATATATAACCTACATAAAGAGTTTCTTCTGATGCTGTAATACCTATTTTGAAATGATATGGAGTTGTTTCAATAACATCAAAATCAATCTTTAATGGTGGTTTCAATCCTTTGTAAACAATAAGATCTTGAGCTATGCTTGGATTTTCAACACCTACAATGTGAATTGTAACATTGGTGATTTCAGAAATAATAGGAAGTTCTATTGAAAACTTGACAGACCATTCAGATGAAGTGTTCACTAGTTTATATTTATTTCCATCTGAATAATCTTCAAAATAAAATTTGCGTTCTGCAATTGCAGAAGGGTTATGTCCATATAATTCACATTTGAAGTTATATTTTTCACCTTGAATTGGCGAGCTATGTATCAAATTACATTCATAATATTTGTAATTGTCTACCATATAATGATATTTTATGGTAATATATCTGTCAAACTCGTCAATAAATTTGAATTCAACTTCTCTAATTTCAAGAGCAACAATTTTCACAACAAAAATATTGTTCTCATCTAATGAGGATATTGAAATTACATTCTGATAATCACCATTGTTAAATGAATCGCGATATTGAACTCTTAAAGTTTCGAAATTGCATATATAATTTAATTTGAACTCAATCGGTAATCGAGCATAAAGTTCGGAAAATCCAGTGTTACTATCTAAAACAATAGATGGCTTGGGAACAATTTTAATATCTGTAATATCACAGTATTTAATAATATCTTCATTATTTGAATTATTCATTGCAAAAGATATTTCTGTTTTTTCTTCGGTTTGTTCTGGAATTGAAACATAAACATTGAATTCATTATCATAGCCAACTTCTTCCATACGTAAAGCATGTTTGAATTCGCTATCAAAAGAACTTTCGTATCGACCAATTTTTGCTTTATAGATGACAGGATATGTTTCAATGTTATCGATATTGCATTTAAATAAATGTTCTTGTCCATCAGGAATCATATCTTGTGTCTTACGACATGATATTGAGCTTTCTGTGACAATTCTTCCCTGTGTGACTGTGATCGGGATTGTGAAAAGTGATGATTCTTGACCAGATGGATCTACAATTACAATCAATAAATTCTTTTGACCGATCTCAACATTATTCGGAATTATCAACCGAATTGTATAATCATTGTCTGTATTCGGAACTTTCTTTGGTTTATAATTGTTAATAATTGTTGGATTTGACATTTGATTAACATTTTGATCAACAAATTCAAACTTAAATATTGAATCTTCCATTGCATCTGCTTTTCTTCTTCTAACATTCAATGTTAACCTTGTATTTGTTTTATGTTCAATATTTGGATTCGCATCTGAAATGGATTCGATATCTATAGGCATCAGAATTCTGAAATCAATAGTTTTATGAATGATTATAGTCTCGCTATAAACAAATGCAAAAGTAATTTGTGTTGGTAATGTTCCTTGAGTATTATAGCTGATTTTATCACCTAATTCAATCGAATAACTATAACCTGCATCACTTGAATCCAAATCAAAATTATAGTTTGAAATTGAACCGTCATATTCCCCAAATTTTGCAATTGTTTGGATGGTTCCAGAATATATGCCTGAATCAACATCAATATTTCCTTCTATTTTGCCAGTTAATGGCAAATAATGATTGATTTTAATACTCAAACCAAATGTTTTAAAGCTAATACCAATAAGACAAGTTTGGCTTTTATGTCTGAATACGATATTCCCATAAATTTCCCTTGAGTTTTTATTGAAACTGAAACGGAATTTTTTGCTCTCCCCAGGTAAAGGGACAATTGTACCCTTTTTAGATTCAAAATCAACTGATAAATGTTCATAATAGACTTGATTCTTGAAAGTAACTGTCCCAGTAAAATTGTATTCATTTAATGTGTAATATAAATCGTTTTCATTTTTTGGGCTAAAGATTTCATAAGTTTCATATGTTAACTCAGGTAAAAGCTTTAAACCATTAATTTCCGAGTGATTTAAAAATTGTAATGTTTCATTATCTACTATGGCAAATGTAATTTTGTTTTCTATTTTAGTTTGGGAAGATGGAATACTACAATTAGTCCACAAATCATATTTTATACTTGATTCCTCGACTAATGTGTATTCAGATATATCAATTGAATAATCACCTGTTTTATACATTAATTTGAAAAATGGAACAGATGGCTTGGCTTGAATTAGCACATAAATATAATCAGACGCATCATATAATACTTCTTGGCCACGAAATGTCAAGACTAATTCATTTTCGATATCAGGGTGTATTAGCGTTTTTCTCTCTAAAACTATATTAGAGACTTTTCAACATCACCATCGATATAATGAAAACGAGAAACAATATAATAATCTCCATCTTGTATAGTAGATGGAATGAAGAAAAATATTGCTTCATTATCTACTTGGGAAAGTAGTGAATTTTCTGGATAAACAATTTCACTTTCATTTTGGGCGGAAACGAGTGCAACATCATATTTAGTAGTTCCAACTCCATAGTATTTTTTCTCAAATTCCTTAGTTGGATAAAAATAATTCCATCAATTTATATATACTTCAAATCCTCTGTTTATAATTATTGAATTTAGTTTTGGTTCCCCAACAAAATGTATATTTTGAAGAAACTGGTTTTCATTATTATATTTTAGATTCATTTTTGTGAATTCTTTTTCTTCTGAAACTTGAAATGTTAAAGTATTTGGACTTAAAAATGTAGTTTCATATTCTTCCGAGAAAGTAAATATGAATTCACCTCCAGTTAAATAGACTTTATAATTTATATCTTCTGATAATCCAGTACATGTTAATGAGATGTTCTCGTGAAAACGCAGCCTTGTCTTAATTTCTTCGCATACTATATTTTGTCGTGTTAAGTAGGCGAAAAGGAGTATCATCATTTCGAATCTTTGGAAATTATTTGATTCAATTTATTGAATTCGGTTTAAAATTCACCGGAATTATGTTATAAAATTATATATAGGTATTTGTCATAATAAAAAGATAAAATTCAATCAAAGTTCATTCAAAAGCTTCCAATTTCTCTGAATATTTTGAGGCATTTTGAAAGTAAATTAAACTCCTATTTGATATATTCGGTTTTTATTAAAATTTTAAAAAAGAAATTTGATTGCATCTCTCAATTAACGAAATGAACTCAAAATTTGAAGAGGTAATTGAAATCATTATAATGATAAAAGAACACATATATGACTATATCGCGATTTTATTCTGATCAAAATGTTAATATAATCTGATTGCAATTGGATAAAATTTCACTTCCAAAAATCATCTCATTTCGTAAGGAATTTCGGACTAATTTGCAGAGTTATTTGATCTGAAAAGATTAATTCGACAAAAATCTTCCAAATTTTTAATTTAAAGAATGATTTAGGATTTTATGTCAAAATATAATTGAATTTGCCTGTGATTAACTGAATGGATGATATCACTAATCATTGCAAGAGCACAAATTTTCAGAACTTTCCAGACGTTGAAGAAAACTATAACAAGCAAAATATTTCGGATTTTTTTGCAAATATAACTAAATGGGGCTATTCTATCGGTTTTTGATATTAAAATGCTAAAATCTTCAGAGAGTGAATTTTTATAAGAATTTGAAAACGTGACATATCAGATATCTTCTCCGAGTGAAAAATTATATGACGAAAAACAAAATATTTTCAAAATCAACAATGAGTCCCATCGTATATTGAACAGAATAAGCAATGCTTCTCTGAAATTTGTCTTCTAAACGATTTTATTGTACCAATTCATCTTCTAATTCTAGTCACATGAGTTGATTTTTTTTTCCATTAAAAAAATTAGCGAATTTAGGTAAACTCAAAATCGATTTTTTAGTCGTAATTTTAAATTTTTAGACTTGTAAAGTTTCATGGATCGGTTCTGTACTCGATTCATTTTCATACAGATTCTTCTTCTTAATGATAAAGAAAGCTATTACGCAAACAATTACGATGGCTATCAATGCTCCAACTATACCACCAGCAATAGCTCCTGCTTTGCCCTTATTTGGTGGATCGCTACTATTTGAATTATCATCTCCCCTAGGGGTAGTTTCTATTGGTTTTTTATCACCTGGATTTTCTCTCTCACTTGAACTTTCTTTTCCATTGGGTTTATTTTTCCCATCAGGATTCTCCTCACCAGGTTTTTCTTCTGGTTGATTAGAATTTTCGTTAGCAAATTTGTAATTACCTATTTTTGAATTAATTAAAATAGCTTTGTAATCCTGAGAACATCTTGTTTCAAATTCAATATCAAAAATATAATTCGGATCTATCCATTGGTATTTATAAATTAGGAGATTTTGGACATTTAATATTTTTCTTATACTTGATTGAGAGTTTCCTGTTAAATTATATGAAATTTCTCGTACCATTGCTGTGTTGTACTCATTGTGAGAAGAAAATCTCATTCCATCAAATGATCCCATGACAAGAACAACTGATTTTGGAAATTCGAGTTTGTAATTGGAATTGTTTGAAGTACCAATTGTGAGTTTTTGATTACCAATCATGTAAATGATATCATCTGCTTGTATATTAGATATCGAAAGTACTATTACTGATATTGGATAATCTCCGTAACAATACAATGTTCCAGCTTGAGTGAAATCAACAGCAATCGAATTATTTTGGAGTAATGTATAATTCTTATTACCAATTTCTGCATAAACATTAACTCCAGTTTGATCTGAAATTGGAGAAAGTATAACTTGATATCCTGCAGATACTCGGCATATTGTATTTTTCAATTCTTTCCTTCCAACTTCAAGATCAATAATATTCTTATCATATTTGAAGAGTTTAGTCTTTTTTGCAACTCTTGAATATGGTAAATTGATGTAAATTGTTATATTATATTCTCCAAATGTGAACCTTTCATAATGATAAACTTCAGTATATAATAGATCTCCTTGAAAATATGAAGATAAAAATTTATCCTCTCCTGCTTGAGAAGTCTGGCGAATTAAATGATATATATAACCTACATAAAGAGTTTCTTCTGATGCTGTAATACCTATTTTGAAATGATATGGAGTTGTTTCAATAACATCAAAATCAATCTTTAATGGTGGTTTCAATCCTTTGTAAACAATAAGATCTTGAGCTATGCTTGGATTTTCAACACCTACAATGTGAATTGTAACATTGGTGATTTCAGAAATAATAGGAAGTTCTATTGAAAACTTGACAGACCATTCAGATGAAGTGTTCACTAGTTTATATTTATTTCCATCTGAATAATCTTCAAAATAAAATTTGCGTTCTGCAATTGCAGAAGGGTTATGTCCATATAATTCACATTTGAAGTTATATTTTTCACCTTGAATTGGCGAGCTATGTATCAAATTACATTCATAATATTTGTAATTGTCTACCATATAATGATATTTTATGGTAATATATCTGTCAAACTCGTCAATAAATTTGAATTCAACTTCTCTAATTTCAAGAGCAACAATTTTCACAACAAAAATATTGTTCTCATCTAATGAGGATATTGAAATTACATTCTGATAATCACCATTGTTAAATGAATCGCGATATTGAACTCTTAAAGTTTCGAAATTGCATATATAATTTAATTTGAACTCAATCGGTAATCGAGCATAAAGTTCGGAAAATCCAGTGTTACTATCTAAAACAATAGATGGCTTGGGAACAATTTTAATATCTGTAATATCACAGTATTTAATAATATCTTCATTATTTGAATTGATCATTGCAAAAGATATTTCTGTTTTTTCTTCGGTTTGTTCTGGAATTGAAACATAAACATTGAATTCATTATCATAGCCAACTTCTTCCATACGTAAAGCATGTTTGAATTCGCTATCAAAAGAACTTTCATATCGACCAATTTTTGCTTTATAGATGACAGGATATGTTTCAATGTTATCGATATTGCATTTAAATAAATGTTCTTGTCCATCAGGAATCATATCTTGTGTCTTACGACATGATATTGAGCTTTCTGTGACAATTCTTCCCTGTGTGACTGTGATCGGGATTGTGAAAAGTGATGATTCTTGACCAGATGGATCTACAATTACAATCAATAAATTCTTTTGACCGATCTCAACATTATTCGGAATTATCAACCGAATTGTATAATCATTGTCTGTATTCGGAACTTTCTTTGGTTTATAATTGTTAATAATTGTTGGATTTGACATTTGATTAACATTTTGATCAACAAATTCAAACTTAAATATTGAATCTTCCATTGCATCTGCTTTTCTTCTTCTAACATTCAATGTTAACCTTGTATTTGTTTTATGTTCAATATTTGGATTCGCATCTGTAATGGATTCAATATCTGGAGATGTTAGTATTTTGAAATCAAAAGTCTTATGGACAGCAATAACATCATTAATAATGAATGCAAATGTTAATTGTGATGGTAATGTTTCTTGAGTATTATAGGTTATCATATCCCCTAATTCAATTAAAAATTGACCTGAGGTATATCTTGAATCCAAATCAAAATTATAATTCGAAATTGAAGAGTCAAATTAACCAAATTTAGCTTTTGTTGTTATACTGCCATAAAATCTATGTGGAGATATCTGAATACTTCCTCCAATTGTGCCTGATTTGGTCATATACTTATTGATATTAACATCAATACCAAATACAAACATGCTATATAAATATATATATGCTCCTTGCGTGTTTTGTTTGATAAATATTGAGCTATAAATTTCATTTGGAGACATTTTGATATTAAAGTTGATTTTTTTATTTTCTCCAGGAATAGGAATGATAGTACCTTTTTGACTTCCTAATTCTATTGATAAGTACTCAAAATCTATTTCATTCTTGAAAGTAACTGATCCTGAAACAATTTCATCATCCAAAACATAATAATTATTAGCCAAGTCTTTTGTATTAAATATTTCATGGCTATCAATTAAGAATTGTGGTAAAATCTTAATATTACTAATTTCTGAGTGTTTTAAAATATGTGATGTTTCATTGTCTACCAAGATAATTGATACCTTTTTCTCTATTTTAGTTTGAGATTCTGTAATTTGATAGCTAATAACCGAATTATAGTTTCCAATCCCTTCAAAACCTAAATTATATTGAGAGAGATCTGTTGAATATTCGCCAAATTTATACATCAATTTGTAAAATGGGAAGGATGGTTTAGCAATAACACCTATCGAAATAACTTGAGGATAATCAATTACTGGGTTGACACCACCAAAAGTCAGTTTCAATTCATCTTTCACTTCAGGATGAATGATTGTTATTTTACGAGATTCAGTATTCGAAATTTTTTCAATGTCACCATTTATATAACGAATTCGAGTGAATATATAATAATCTCCATCTTGTAATGTTGGAATAAAAAAGTATATTCCGTCTATCTTTTGTTGTGAAATAAGTGAATTGTGTTCAAAAACATTTTCATTTCCATTTTCATCCGAAACAAGTGCAACTTCAAATTTGCTAATTCCCTATCCATAGTAATTTGCCTCAAATTCTCCACTATAAGAGTAAGTATTCCATTGGCTAGAATAAATATAATAATTTTTATTGATATGAAGTAAAGTTAATTTTGGTTCGCCTTCAAGCAGAACATTTTGAAGAAATTGTTCTTCACTATTAAATTTGAGTTTCATAGTTTTAAATTCTAATTCATCTGAAACATTGAACGTTAAAGTATTTGGACTTAAAAAAGTTGCTTCATATTCTTTTATAATATTACGTGGGAACAAAGATTTAGTGAATGAGACTTTATAATTTATATCTTCTGATAATCCTGTGCAAGTAAGTGAAATATTCTCATGAAAATGAAGTTTTGTCATGATTTCATCACATAAAATTTCTTGTCGCGTTAGAAAAGCAAAAATGAGAATGCTCATTTCGAAATTCAGAAAATTAAAAATATTTTATCAGAATAAAATGCGAAATCATTACCATTTTGAGATTAAGATTACCTACAGATTTTGTCATTATAAATTCTATATTGAACGATATCAATCTTTACACATCTCAAAATTTGAATAAGTAATTGAGATAGGTTAAGATAGCTTATTTAATGATAATGTATCTTTGCTTTATTCTGATCAAAATTCATCGTTTGCAAACCGCTTTCAAATTTTCAGTGTTTAATGTTCATAATATATGGAAATTACAAATGATTAAAATATCATGCAAATTTTTTAAATTGAATCTGATTTGGATAAATTTATTCACAATCTGAAAAAATGAATTTTGGACCATAGCCATTTCATTTCATTAAGTTTTTCGGACTTAATCAAGGAGTAATTTACTACAAACGAATTAATTCAACTCAATAATGTTAAATTTCATCATCAAAATTAATAAAGATTCTTTCTTTGGTTGAATATAATCGAAATAATCTGAAATGAACTTCGTGGAAGATTCTGGAAATCATTGTAAAAGTTCAAATTTTGATAAAATTTGAGAAAAGTGACATTTATTAGATTAATTTGAATACTGATCAGATGCAAATTGTAATTCAAATTTATTTTCAGATTAAATGTCATTTTTTATCAAATGTATTCAAAAATTTATAGACTTTTTCTCTTGAACCTTTCCAAACTCAGCCAAACTTTGCAAGGAACTATAAATTTGTACCTTAAATATAAACCACAAAATTTTGGCTAGTAATAATAGGTACATTGATGAATCATCATTAATTCCAATCCAAAAACATATATTAAAAACAGAATTTATTCGAATTAAACAATGAAAATCCTCACTTATTGAACAAAATAAGCAAATCCCATAAAATTTCCAACATTCTTCTTCTTGTAAGCCTTCTTTTCAGCTGTATAAATGTTTGTTGCACAAGGAGTTCCAACCGGAGTTAAAAATGGAGTGTTGAAAGGCGTAATCGCAGCAGTTGATGCTGGAGTTAGCTTTGGAGTATTAACTGGAGTTAATTTTGGTGTGATAAATGGTGTCAGCTTTGGAGTTTCTTTTGCAGTGTATTTTGGTGTGTACTTAAGTGTTTCTTTCGCTGTGCTAAATGGTGTAATTTTTGGAGTGTAAACAAGGGTATTAACTGGTGTTTTTTGAGCAGTTTTATAAGGTGTATTAAAAGGAGTAACTTTTGCAGTATAAATTGGAGTTGAAAAGTGTGTCTTAAATGGTGTTTTGTGTATTGTCTTATAAGGTGTATGTACTAGAGTTGGCTTTTGTGTGAATTTTGGTGTACTGAAAGCTGTTTTGAATGGTGTAGTTTTAGGAGTTGTTATAGGGGTGCTCTTCGGCGTAATCTTTGGAGTATAACGTGGCGTGTAAACAGGAGTAATCTTTGGTGTCAAAGCAGGAGTTACTTTTGGTGTTTCTTTTGCGGTGTATCTTGGAGTCACAAAAGGAGTTGGTGTAGGGAACAGAGCATTTTGGAATGGATTACTTGGATATAATTTATCATATCCTTCAAGAGTTCTGCAAAAAGCTTCTGGAGGCAGACAAATAAGATTTCGTGGATAATAACTTGTATCTGTGAGGAATTCTTTATAGGAATATGTTTGTCCTTCATGAGTGCAATTTAATGTTTCATATGTATTCTTCACGCGATGGTTTCTAAGTAACAAAGTAAATGATTGATAATCATCTGCACAATGATAAGTTGCGCATGTATCACCTGTATAACAAGTTAATCCAGTAATTGTTGCTGTACCATCAGGACAATAATGTGCTTGTCCTTTTAATAGCAAATAAGCATCATAATCATCGCCAAATACATTGTAATTGTTAGGATTGTAATAGGATTGCGCCGCACAATAGTCGGGGAAGTTTGTTGCAGTTGTCCCATCATTACAAGTTCCACTATATTTACCAGGAAATCCCCAAGTTTTGAACTCAAATGATGATGCATCTTCATCATTATTTGGATCTTGGAAATAGTATTTTTGAAGTGTAGTTTGAGGTGGACCTAATGGCCAATTCAAGTTATAAACTCCATTAATATATTCTTTGTTTCCATACAAAACTGGTTTTCCATATCTCCAATCTACTTCATAGTTTCCTGTATCAAACAAAATTGCCATTGAAACTTCAGTAAATCTTGCAAATGGAATATCTTCCTGTTGTAATGCTAATGGACAAAGGATATCTTGTGCATAAATTGCTGTACTTGGTCTATTTGTAACATGTGAATCCATAATTACACCTGATGGACATCTTTTATTATCATCGCCAACAAACCATTCTTGTCCAAAGAAATGTTTTCCATGATGATGTGCATAAGGAGTTGTCAATATAGTAAAGTTTACTCCATTCTTTTTAATTGTGCAATAAGGATTCGGATAATAATCACTTACTAATTTGTAATGGAAATATGGAACATTTACAAGACATGATAAAATAGCTCTTAAACAGTTATTGAAGAAAAAGTCATTTTGTGTATTAACTTGTGAAGGCTTTGATGGAACAAGTCTTGGATTGAAAATAATTGTCGCTTGATTAACAGCATATAATTTGTAGTCAACATATCTAACATCAGCTTGCATATTAAGATCTCTTGTATTTCCAAATGGATGAGTCATCCAAACTATATATAAATCACAATTATTTATAGGAATCGTCATTGATGTTGTTGCTTTTGAATAGGAATCTGATCCATAAAAGTATCTATCACGAACGGGTTTAACTCTTAACATTGTTTCCAAATAATATTTTACATTAGCAACTGTTTGTTGATAAGCACTTATTTGTTGTGCAGTTAATATATCTTCTTGAACACATGTATAAATTGTATTTTTCCATATAACTTGTTGTCCAACTGATGTGCATGCTTGTGAATCCGTATATGTTCCATTGAAGAATCTGTTATCATTTGTAATTCTTATTGGTTCAAATTCAGGAATTGAGTCGAAAATTGGTGTTGATTGTGGTGTTGGTTTAGGAGTTGGTCTTGGAGTTGGTTGTGGTGTTGGTCTAGGTGTTGGAAAGATAACTCCTGCAAAAGGATCACTTGTAAAATATTGATTTAACATATTTCTTGTTCTACAGAATTGTTCTGGTGAAGGACATGTAACAGTTCTTTCAGGGTACACTGATGTGGCATTTTCCTTTCTTGTATATTTAAATGTTTGGCCTTTTGATGTGCATGTTATTCTTGTTGTTGCACTTGTACTCATATCAATGATTACATCCATGTAAAAACTTGTATATCCATTACATGAATAACTTGCACAAATATCATTTGAATAATATGTCATACCTGGAATTGTTGCTTTTCATGCTGGACAAGTAAAACTTGGAACTTTGACCATTTGAAAATCAAGAGCATCATTTCTCCCTGCAATTGAATATCCCTTTGGATTGTAAAATGATGGATTATTACAATAGTGTTGTTTTGCAATTGTATCTTTGTTCGAACAATCAACAGTCTGTGTATTGAGAGATCCCCACGTGTTGAAATCATATCCAGCAGTGTTTAATTCTTGTGATGGATCATAGAAATAATTGTCCGGTAAAACATTTTGTGGAGCAGATAATGGCCATCCAGAAATATAATTTCCATCGATTGAATCTTTGTTACCATATATCAGTGGTTGGGCCATTGACCAATCTACTTCGTAATTACCACTATCAAGGAAGAAAGCAAGTGTAACATCAGTAACTCTCATGAATTTTCCAAATTTCGTTGTTGTAAATTGAGCGTTACTTACATCGGTGTAATAAATCGACTGTTCTGCGCCTGTACCTGGAGAAAGACCACTATCTTCAAGGACAATACCACTAGGACATGTATTCTTATCTCATGTAAAAATGGCAGTTCCATAATGCTTGATCGCAAAATAATGAGCATATGGAGTCACTAAAACGGAGAAATTTTTGCCATTTTTAGTGAGATTGCATATAATTTTGTCATATGGAGTTGGATCATATTTCGGATGGAACTTTTGGATCAAAGTATCGGACATTGTTAAGATTCTTAAAAAATGACCGAAGAAAAAGAAGAAAAGTCCATTGGGATCAGAATTTTCACTTTGTACAGTATCTGGAAGGTGGTCATTATTCAAATAAGTGTTAATCTGGATAACGCGATTGTATGTCAGTTCTCTGAATGTCTGGGATTGAACTGAATATTCGTCTTGGTAAAATGGCCTTGAAAAGAATGTAAAATGCAGGTCACTATTAGAGATATTCGTTCCTTCAACAATGGAAATCTCATCGTCCGTATCTGATCTCAAAGAAATAGGTTCGGTTTTGGGTAAAACTTTTAGAAACCTTTGTAAATAACTCTTTATGTTATTCATTGTCCCTTTAAAAGCTGCAATTTTGGCCGGATTCTGAACATCATCTGCCTGACAAACAATTGTTTTGCCACCCCATGTCACAGTCTGACCTGCACTTATGCACTTAAGCGGATCTGATGTAGTTCCATCTAAATACTGATAATCAAGTGTGATTCGAATTGTTTGAAAAGTTGATGAACTGTATAGGGTACGTTTAGGAGTCTCTTTGGTAGGACTATGTACAAAATTATTGTTTTCTCGCTTAAAATTTGGCCATAATATACATAGGAGAAGAAACATCAAAAGTTTGAATCCAATAAATTATCAATTGAATTTTTTTGGATAAATATCAGACATCAATCTATGAACCACAAACTTTAATAAATTTATAAAATTGTCAAATCCGGAACTATCAAATTGAATTTATTTTCAAATAAGAGTAAAGAAAAAATTAACAGAATCGAATGGTATGATACTATATTATTAAGTTTGATCGTAGAAACGAAAATTAACAGTTCATTTTTTTTCACATGAAAAACATTCATAATGACTATTCATATTATACATGGCACGATGGGCGCTACTTTTTTGGCGCCAGCGGCGCCGCCCGCGCCTCCGGTGGCCCCACTGGTGGGGAGGAGACGATAGAAAAAGATATAAATTTTACTAAAAAAATTGAATTTTGGAAATTCTTTTGATTTTTTTGAATGATTTACGAAGAGATTGAACACATTTTGTACTATGAAATATCGTTATTAATAAATTTGCTTCTTAAACATCTATTAAAATCGCAATTTTGAATATTTTTATGATTTTTTTTGACCCGATCACTTGCGCCCGCGCCCACTGGGAGGGCGCTTGTAAAGTATTCAAAAATCAATGTAAACATTTCAATTTTTGCTCCCACCTCCCATTGGGAGGGGGGCATATATCTTGTAGCGTTCAAGTTCAAGTGATGAAAGTGCATAAGAAAGCTCCTTAATCATACCGATAGAAACAGCATTAGGGGCGCCAAATGGCGCTCGGTGATGTTTCCCATAAAAGTTTAATTTCAGGTATCCATAATCATAACCTGTCAGACGCAATAATTCATTAGCACACAATCATCGTTTCTCAATCAAGAAACGAAACGCACGATTGATTATGCTGGCCATTAAATTTTCATATCAAATAATTTACTACTTCAAGAAAAATTAAAGACTATCATCAACCAAAGCTTAAAATTCTCAGTGTTTACAACTCTCATACTTCGAATATGCATATTTCCAAAATAGCATGAAAATTTTTTTCATTTGAGCTCATTTTCTTTTGTTCTATTAACTAATACATGCAGTACAAGCTTGTTATACGTATACTTAATAAGTAAGGTCTTAAGGGAAATAATAAAAAACAATTTTGCTATTAATTATATTAAACAATATTTATTTGTAATTTCGTGATAATTATATTTCTTATTACAAAGTAAAGGTATTTGATATAATGTTTGCCTTACAAAAATGTTTCCTTTGTCTTGCCACCATAGGTATTCTATTTTGTCACTTTTTGCGCCCGCCGTGCCATGTATAATTCATATATTAATTGTCATCAAAATTTATTGATCAAAAAATGTGCAATTGAAAGATAAAGTGTAATTGAATTAAATGGTTGATCATTATGGTTGGAGAACTACTGAAAATTTAAATACCTCAATGATTATAATAAGATTACAAAGCAACCTTAAGTTACTTTTGAAAGCTATGCATTGAATTTTTTTTTGAGATTTCAGTAGACAGATCATTTTTGATAGATGGGTACGTATTATGCGATCGTACATTATATACGATTATTTACTCTTATCATAAATACTCTTTTTATCAAAAAATTAAAAATTGGATTGAATCTCATTCAGTAGTAGGATATGACGGGTTTAGTGACTTTTTTTGTTACATCTATATATAGACGATGCATTAAAATATATTTATTTATAAATCATTAAAAAATTAACATTAATTTTAAAATAATTTATTTTTTATCTTTTATAAAAGAAGCTATATATAGATGATGTCAGATATTCCGCGATTAATTAAACATTGTTTAAATCCTGAATGGGTTAAACTTCAATTTAAAAATGAAGATTGTGAATTATTAAATGAATATGAAAGCCAAAATAAGCTAATGAGGTATAAATATAATGATAAAGAATATTTAATTTCATGGAATCAATGGAGTCATAATCAAAGACCTCATAAACGAGAAGAAGAAATTGAAAATAATAAAATGGAAATCATTGATGACATTAAAGAGGATGGAATTCCTAAATTTTGTAGAAAAACCTTTAGAACTAAGTTAGGAGCATATAAACGTAGAGTATTAAATCCTGAATATCTTAAACATCAATTTAAAAAGGAAGACTGTGAATTATTAAACGCTAATGAATATGAAAATGCTAAATCAAAACTGAGATATAAATATATTGGAAGTGATGAAAGGTGTAAAGATAAAGATAAAGTTTATTCAGTTTCATATAATAACTGGCACACGTTAGGGATAAGAAAACATTTAGGAGATTATGGTAAAAGTTCCGAATTCTTCAAATCTAGTATGTACGAGAGAATAAAAGAAATTAGAAATAATTATTTTCATGAATGAAAGATTCACTACCATAATGAAATAAAAAATTTTTTAAAAAATAAACTTTAAAAATTCATGTCTTACATTTTTGAATAATTTATTTTTTTATTTTGTATGAAATGAGTGAATCAAAATTCGTGACTGTAAATCAATTAATGAATAAACTTTCACCAATTCTCACCCAGGTTAAACAAGTAGACGTTTATTTTGATGATTACATACAAAGTTTATTTTATAAAGGTAAGTTTAATATTAAACCTATTGCTTTTGCATTTGATGGTAAATTAATCGAAAATTCAAAAATTTGGGAATTAATTCCGGATATTGAATTTATAACAAATATTAAGGATAAATGGTTTAAACAACAAAACCACCTCACTAAAGTTCTTTGTAGATTAATGATTAAAACTGAGGAAAAAGAATTTAACGGGTTTAAATATCATCCATGTAAAATTTTAGAACTTGGTAACGAAAAACTTCAGAAAAAATTAAACGAAAGACTATCAAAAGATAAAGTTGAAAGAGTAAATAAACTCGCTAAAGGTAATGGTAATGATGAAGATGAATTTGATGAGTTCAACATTGAACTTTAAGAAACTAATGATTATTTGAATTTATGAAATCAATTATTTGATTCATTCTTTCTTCAATCTCTTCTATTCTTTTTGTTAAATCATCTATTTTCATTAATGAGGTGATTCTTGATTGAGGAATAGATTTCAAACTAACCACTCCTTTTATTTTTGAAATTTTGAATCCATCAACTTTAAACATTTTATTCAATTTACATGTTGTCAATTCTTCAAATAATTTTTTATTATTAGCATAATAGTCATTAAATTCTTCAACAGATGAAAAAATTTTTGTTTCAGTGATGGGTTTAACAACGTTTATTTTTTGTTGAACATTTTCACTTTCATTTATTTCTTCCTCCTCTGTTTCATTTATTTTTAAAATCGGTTTCATTTATCATTAAATAAAAATTAGAATATAAGTGATGAAATATATTTTTTAATTAATATTAAATCAGAAATGGCGGCAGGATTCTTTAAAAAATTATGGGATGGAATTAAGAAAGCTGCGGGTTGGGTTTATAAAAAGATTATTAAACCCGTTGCAAACTTTTTGGCACCAGTAGCGAAAACGGCAGGAACTATCATAGGTGGAGTATTAGGTACTAAAGCAGGTAATCCGGCGATGGGAGCACAAGCAGGTAACGCAATTGGTGGAATAGCTGAAGGAATACTTAATAAAATAGGAGGTAGATAGTGGAAAAATAAATTATTTTTATCTTAGTATCGGTTGTAGTCTTTGATAAACTTTTTCTCCTTTATTTAAAACTTCTCTTATTGGGGCAGCTTTTGGCGTTATTGATTCAGCAATGTCACTAATTGCTTCTTTATTCTTAAATATCCAATTTGCTCCCTTCTTCAATGTTTCCCAAACTTTATGCGCTCCTCTTTTTACTTTATCCCACAGTTTCTTAAATATACCTGCAGCCATAGTTGATTATTTCATTAAAATTAAAAATTCATTTTCATCTTTTAATTTTGATTTTTATTTATTAATAAATGACGACTAACTATTTGGTGCCAAACACTAAACCGATTAATGGAAATGTGTTTCATTCATTCGAAAAGATAAATGAAATATTCGCAAGAATGACGGTAGAAGATATTATAGAGAACTTGAAAGTTCATGCTATGACTCTGATGCTCCATATTTTGATGATAAACAAACTCATTTAAGAATTACAAATCCGGCTCATGATGTGAACC